TAATAATAATAATTATTATTATTATTATTATTATTATTATTATTATTATTATTATTATTATTATTATTATTATTATTATTATTATTATTATTATGAAATCCATTGGAACTCCCCTTAAAAGTTGTAAACAATTGTATAAGTTGCATGAATGGTGTTTTGCCAATCCATTCTGTTTAAAGCCTTATCTATTATTAAATTATTAGTGTTTAAATCATTTTTTACTACTATCCATGTTCTTTTTGGTCTACCCCTAACTCTTCTATCTCCTTCAATTATAGTTAGTTATTGGTAGTTTAATAAATAACAATAATCATTAATTAAAATAACAAAATCCACTTAAGCTAATATAAGTACTATGAACTCCTTTGGAAAGGCTCTTACGTAGGAGAAACTTCTAAGAAAAAATTAATTTGTAAAAGAAATCATAGTTTTATAATTAACATGGACAAGTCTATCTGTCCTAGGCCTAGACAAATATTATTATGCTTAGGGTATGGGCTGAGTTGGGCTAGACAACCTTAAAAATTGTTAATACATTATCAAAAATTTGCTCAAGATATTTTGCTTTTTTAATTCATTGGTCTACACAATGGGGGTAGCCCATCCCCTATGGCTACTTCAATAACAATATTAATAATTTTTATCTAAAAATAGTTAAAAGCAAAAAGTAACGCATGTGTGGGTTGTACTCAATTTGGTTCAATCCAATTACAAATGTCACATTACTCTTAGGGTGCAATTTGGGCAAGTTGGGTCTAGTTGAGGGTCAATCCAAGCCCAACCTAAAGTCTCAAGCCTCGATATTGAGCTTAGATTCATTTAATTATGACTACAACCTAAATTTATATATTTACTAATATATAAATATTTTAAATATTTAGGAAATATTTATAAAAAATTGTAACATTTAATTAATTATTTTATTAAATAATTAGCAATATTATTAAAATCATTAATATAATTAATCTGAATTACTAAGTTATTAAATTATTTTATAATAAATTAGTAAAATAAAGATTAATTATTTTAAACAATACTGCATTTTTTAAAATAGTTATCGGTTTCTATTATTTTATTTTCTCTCGACAAATCGCATGAGTCTCCGCTAGTTTGGAACAAAAAGGGGGGTGTAAAGTGCATCAATCCAAACACTACAAAAAGTGATTTTTCAAAATTGTAGCTTTTAATGGAGCCTGTGTAGAGGGAGGGCCCATTTAGGAGTGCTTCAGCATTGAATGAATCATTGCCGAGAAGCTACCTAAAGATAGTTTCATGGGAAAGTTGATTTCCCAGCTCATATACACATATTTTTGGCTTTCCAGCTTTCTCACCAAATATGACACATGCATTGCTGGGTGAAAGCCCTCCCAAACGCCCCCTCAATATATCATTCTTCTTTGCTTATTTTTAATGTGTTGCCTCTTGTCCATTACTGCTTTTCAGGGGAATTGTAAAGAAGGTATTTCACAAGATTAATTTCTTCTTTTGTTTTTGTTCATTTGAATTTAATTCACTAAGGTTCTGTTTGCTTTGAAGGAAAAAAAAAATAGGAAAAGGAAAAGAAAAGTAAGAAAATTTATACAAATCAAACACAACCTAATGGACTTCATTTGGAATTATCTTTAGCTGGTTGCATGTTTGAAACCTTATTTTCTGGCTGGTTAAATTATTAGTTAAGAAACCCATTTATATGTGAATTCGCATATGTTTACAGGCGCCCCACAGCACATCCCAACTGTGTATTGAAAATATCTTCTAATATAACTACAGAAGATGTTTCCAATGCATGCTGAGATGTACAAGTGGGATTCTATAGGGCACAGTTTCAAAGTCTTTAAAGGCTTGGGCCTTTTGGTGATAAGCAAATGACTACTCAGAAGTTGATCCATGCTTTTGTTTCCTGCAGGCAAAGCCAGTGTTGGATGCCCATAATATTAAAGAACTAGTAGATCCCCGTCTGGGAGATTCCTATAACATCTTCGAAATGAAGCGTGCAGTGACAACAGCTTCAATGTGCATCCACCATTTATCGGCCATGCGGCCACACATGGACTGGGTAACAAACAATTCCTATATCTCACATCTTTTCTTTCTTACTATCAAATGTAGATCTAGGTTTGGAAGTGCTTAAAAATAAGTGTCTTCCAATATACACTTATTTTGGTCCGAGACTAGTATTTTTGAACTGCTGTTTACCTGGACGGTTGGACCATTTGGCCCGGGAGTTGTCCAAGTAACCGGTTTAGTTTCACCCTTAACTTGATCCTTGACCAAAAACAGTGATTTGGTCAGAGACCTACTGACCCAGGCGATCGAACCATCGACCTATTCGACCAATTTAAGAGTTTTGGCCCTTTTATTTTAATCATTTGTTTTAATTTTTAATTTTAAAGTTGGAACGAGCCATCCATTTTGAACTGGATAGTCAAATCGTTGACCTGGGAACCAGTGGCCAGAATGGTTCCTGTTGTGGGTCAGTTTTTAAAACCTTGGCTAGGACTACACCAATATGCACTTATTTCTGTTTGGAAATAAGCCCAATAAATACTTATTTGAAAAGTCTAATTATTGGGCTTATTTTTAAGTGCTTAGTTCCTTTCTGGCCTATCTTGGCCCCGTCACATCATTTTCAAAATACCTATGCTATCCCCGTTTAAAATAAGTGCTTCTTCACCCAATACTCATATTGTGATTTGACCTATTTATAGGCCAATTTAGGATATAACTTTTGCCAAAATTTGAATGGGCCAAACCCAAAACCTGAGCCCAAAATAGTGTAAAATGTTGCTAGGGTGAATCTGAAGCCCAGTCCATGAACAAGCCTAGTAGTGATCGATGATCAATAGGCCCTTATAAGCTTTAGGGTCTCTGTGTGGATTTTGCAAAGCTAAATCAAGGTATGTATGAGAGGTGTTTGTTTGTGGTTGTAGGTTGTACAACATTTGAGGGGTGAAGATGAAGAACTAGAATCATTTGTAAGAGAACCAGAGCAGCCTGTGGGAAGGAAATTCCTGTTGGATGCTTGCGACTTGGAAAGCTATACTTGTTCAAGCTACCTCAACGATCTGAATCACCACATGCAACTAGCATTAGAGTAGTAGTGGCTGCTGCTTTCTACTGTTAATCCTGTTTGCTCTCCTCTGTTTTGATTTGATGAGAGAGCCCTTGTCATTTGGCCTGAAATGTATGTATTTGTGTGGGCCATAATCACCAGTTAGATCGAACTTCCAAAGGTAATTGAGCTCATGGTTGTGCTTCATTTCTGTCCACTGGCATCACATGTCTTTTATAGGAGAACCCCAATACTAAATTAAGGGGAACTGATTTGAATCCAGGTGGGAAGTTGGGAATTGTCACAAGTGCTCTGGATGTGGTGGTGCAGTAGTTTCGAATCCCGTTATTATCAAAGAAAAGAGTTGTTGATGTGATATTGTATTGTTCATTTAAAAGAGTAACCACTCCTAGGCCCTAAGGGGCTGTCAGACAGCTGTGATTAATACAAAAAAAAGGTGGGAAGCTGGGAATTGATGATAAATGGTTAGGAATTGAGAACTTCCAGCTTTCCCAGCGTGAATCAGATGACATTGCCTTGCATTGCTTCAATGTATTTGCAGTGTAAATCTGGACCGAATTTAGTTTTGTATCCATTGCTCCAAATTTGCAATCTTACATGATGCAGGATTTGTATCTTTCGTATCATTGACACAAGAATAAACCAGAATTCACACTCAAGTTTTTTGCACTCCCATGTATTTTCACCATTGTAATTGAAATTTGCAGTGCAAATAAAACTGAGTCCTAGCAATGAATTAATGAATTTCAGCTATGTTTTAAAAACCGACACTTGGAAAGCTGGCCAGGTTACTGGTTTAGAGATTCAATCGGATTTTCAACAAGGACATAGAAGAAGTTAGCTAAGTTTGAAGTTCACTTGCCTTTGCCCTTGGATCATTTTCATATAAAACCTTTTACATGCAATTTGTTTAGTCCCAGATGGGTTGGGTCCGAACAATTTCAAACCCATGAGAGATGACTAATCCAAGCCCAGGTACTCATCTTGAGTCCAGTCCTACGGCATTAGAGACATCAGTACCACTGTACAGCCAGCTTGCTGACTGAGACCTAATTAATAGTTTACAAAAAAATCTCAACTATAAACCAATGAAAGAAATATTTTCTTTCGGTCCATTCTCTACCTTATATTATAATTCACCTACCTGTATATATAAACAAACATTACACCTACTACTCAATCACTTCATTTTATATTAATATGATGATTAAAAAAGTCTTTCTCCTGATCTCAAATAAAAGAGGAAAGAAAGTTATTCTGTGGAGATGGCAAAGAATGTAAAAATATCTCACATTCATTACCACCATTTCTAGGGTTTATAAAAGCTTAAATACAGTGTATATATATCTACAGCTTGTATGTATACCTATTTACGGGGCCTAACCACAAGTCTATTTACATGTAAAAAGAGAGAATTTTACATTTCAACTTAGAGGTATAAATCGGGTCGTACTGGGCGTGCCATGTCATGCCACGGGCCATGCTGGTCTGTGGGCCAAGCCTTGGGCCAAGCCGGGCCGTAGAGTGGGCCAAAGCTATTTATTTAAAAAATTAAAAAAAAACTTAAAATTTTAATTTTATATGAATTTTGATGTATACAATTGCTTATATATATAATAATTAAATAAATTAATATAATAAAATTGAAAACAATTGTTTATTTGATTAATATATTATATACATATAAATATATAAATAATATATGTGGGTTATTCTGGGCTGTGTCGGCCCAGCCCGCGGACCTAAAACCCCAGGCCTAACACGACCCACACGACCATGCCAGGCCTGACACGGCCCACATACCGGGTCACGGGTGGCACGGCCCAATTTACACCTCTATTCTGACTTTAATTTGACATTCAAACTTTTACATACCCATAATACCCTTTTATTTATATTTCGTTCTATCACTAGACCTCACTTAACCTATATTTATTATTATTATTATTATTATTTAAATTATTATATATAGCATATTAATAAAAAAAATACGTATATGCTAATTTCACATCCCAATTTTAGTCTCTATCCATACTTTTACATGCCCATAATTACCCGATACGCCAGTAGAGGTGTATTGGGCAGTATTGGTGGTTTTTTTTAGTTTTTTTTTCAAATCTGGTTAAGATGGGGCAGTTTAAGGTCCTTCCACCCTCTGAACCTGTCAAAACTCCGATACACCCTCTATAAGGGCATAATAGGAAGCTCCTAATACGATACAGGCCAATACATATCGATATTTTGAACCTTGAATAAGAGATCTGAATTGCTCTTAATGACCTCTTACACGTGCAAAACACTCAACTAATATGAATAAAAAAGGACTGTTGGATTTCATTGCTTCAACGAGGTTGGAGATCCTCTTTTGCTTGTGATTTGTTTTCTTTATAAGATTGTGCCACTATGGTTCCCTGTCACAAAATTGTTGGTGGGAGTTACTAAATTACTAAACCACTAATCATGAGCTTCTCTTAAGGGTTATTTATTTATAAATTCTATTATTTATAACCCATATAAAAAAATAGAGTTTTACATCCCAACTTTTCTTGGTTTCCCTCAGGTTTTCCTTCGTTTCCCTATCTTTTTCCTTCGAACCAAATATGCAATTTTCTATTCTACCCTTACCTCTCACCTAACCCATATTTATTATATTTATATTTATACTATTATATATCTATCTATATCTATACTATATAAAGTAGATATTGGATACTTGAATTGGATTTCATGCAACTCATAATTCAAATATCATATATAAGATATAATTAATACTTATTTGCATACGTGTATAACACATGTTCTTCGATGAATAATCTATAAATAAGATACAACCTATATAATAGTTTCATGTTTCAATTTTAGTCATTTTTCACGTTTATACATGCCTATAGTTTGAAAATCCCCCTATCCATGTTTACTAGTTTTTGGGCCCCCTCAAAAAAAAAATTCCAGCTGCCCCTGCGTGCAATGCACACAATACCCCAATTTATTCATTTTTTAATTTTATAATTGCCCACTATAACCTTTCTCTCTCTCTCTAAACTAGTTTGAACTAAAAAAAAAAAAACTTTGATTTCATTAAAGTGGGAGACCCTTATTTCTCTTTTGCTTGTGATTTGTTTCTGATGAGGGGTAATTTGGCCCGACCTAGCGACCGAGGTATACGTGGATGCGATCAGCCACTAGGGTGACAACTCAGTAATGGAGACTTGCCAGCAGCTCGGGAGCTCGGGGCCTTGAGCACCTCAGCACCTAATTCAGTTCGGGGCCAAAAAATCAAGGTTCCAGTTCGGAGCCAAAGAACCGAGGTGCCAGTTTGGGACCAAAGATTCGAAGCGCCACGTAATCGACTCCAGAAGCTTTCCCAACGAATTCCGAATCTCCCGGGATCATGACGTCTAATAATAGGGCTCATCCTCACCCTGTCCGAATCGGAGGAAAGTGATAAACCTTATCAACTGGCGCATTGCTCTCCTTCGAAAACGGAATGGATCTTACCTATGCAGCCCGGGGATCCTAGAGCCTTTTCGTAAGGATCACGGCTATTCAACTATATAAAGGCATCGATCCTCAAGGCGAAGGTACACGCAATTACTCACATTCAAGCTCTCTAGCATTCATACTTAGCTTGCAAACACATAGTATTCTGACTTAAGCATCGGAGTGACCTCACCAGGTCTTCCACCCCAGTCCCTCTGAGCATTGTTTTGTAGATTGATCCAGCTCACCACGCAAGTACGTCTAGGTAGTTTTCCAACTAGGAGCTTCCAGATCACGCACCATCAATTGACATCATCTGTGAGAACTAATCAAAAGGTCATCCCAATCTCAGTTGCAGTTCTATCTTTTGATCTATCTCAATGGATTCTTTTAGCAACACCGGAAAAAGCATCGAGATGAATACCACCCGGGGGCAAGATCAGCCATCAACCTTCCCCCAAGGCCCCACGGTATGTATTGGCCAGTTTACTATTCCCCTTATAGTTTCAGGGGTCTCGTCATTGCCCGTACCATAGGGCACCACGCAAGTGAGCATCCCGCTCCCCCTAGTGAGCGCAACTTTCTCTAAGCCATCCGTGGTCCCCCCTAGAATTGAGCACTCCCAATTCCATGACATCGTTCAGTGCGTCCGAATGATACAAATCTAGATGCAACAGGCCCAACAGTTTCAACAATATCAACAGTACTACCTGTACCAGCAGTATCAGCAGCAATTCCCACCACTACAGCCAAACCAGCAGTCGATTCCACCCCAACACCCAGGGTTGCGCCAGGGCCAAAACTAGAACCATCGAGGTGAGGGGACCTCGCAGGTGCTAATCCCTCACAGGGGTTAGACTCCACCTCGTGGGAGGAGGGACGGTCAACACACTCCTCCAGTATCACAAGGAAACTTTAGAAATAGGCCTGAGAATAGCCAACTCAACAGGGCCAACCCGTTGCGGCATTCCTAGTAGGAGAACAATGGATCGCGGGGAGATAACAACCAGCCCGAAGTCTGAGGTGCGAATTCGAGGTCGGTCCCTTCGATGCCTTGTGATAGCCGGTGCGAACTCCACAACCAGGAGAACTCGGCAAGAATGAACCAGGACCCACCTCGTGACAATGTCCGTAATGATGCCGAGATACCAGACCAGACCGAGATCAGCAGCACCAACGCTGAGCCGGTGAAGAAGCAACAAAGGCGACGCGTAAGACACGTCGCTCCTCGGCCAGAAACAGTCCGCCAACAAAGCCAAGCCAACAAGCAGAGCAAGTTAAAGAAAGGGAAGAAGTGAGCTCGGCGGCAACGAAGACTGTGCCTCCCTTGCTTAGCCAATCATCTCCTCTATCTCCCGAGCTCCAAGCAACCCCAATGCCAAAAGACTTCAAGGTTCCCCCACTAGATAAGTATGACGAGTCGTTTGACCCCAATGATCATGTGGATTCTTTCCAATCTCAGATGCACTTAGTCGGGGCTAACGAAGTCTGCATGTGTGTGGCCTTCTCTACCACGTTCAGGGGGTAGTTACGACCTGGTATAGGAACCTCGCACTAGGCTCCATCAAAAGCTGGGCGCAATTTGTCGACCTGTTTACTACGCATTTTATTACCAGCAAGAAATGCCCAAAGTCGTAAGAGAGCCTTCTGAATGTGGTTCATAGGGAAGGAGAGTCAATCAAAAGCTACATCAAGCGCTTCAACGATACTTGCCTACAGATACCGGACCTCGATCCAGCGGTGCGTCTCATTGCAACAAAGAAATGAATCACCCACAAAGAGTTCAAGTGGCATGTGGTAGCCAACAAACCAAAAGATATCACCAAGTTTCTTAAGTTGGCAGACCAGTTCATTGGTACCGAGGAGGAGATTAACCTGAAGATTGATAATCCACTGGCTGAAAAGTGGAAGAGAGAGAATGAAGGGACGAGCAACAGTGGACAGAAAAAGAATCCCCCTCGTGCGGCCACAAGTCAGGTCAGCGTTCCAAGACTCCGCCCGTAGAGAGAATGAACTATACACCTCTGAATGCTAAGCGATGAGAGATCTTAATGATTATTAAGGACTCCTCCTTCGTCAAATGGCCTCCCAGGCTAAGAGGAGATCCGACAACAAG